GGCAAAGTGAGGATTTCATATCTCCACCTGGGCAAGTTTAGGGTTTAGGGTTTAGGGTTTAGGGTTTAGGGTTTAGGGCCAGTTTAGGGTTTAGGGTCCCAGAAAGAGAACCGTTGTAATGGGTTTGCTTTGGGATGTTCTCCCTTATACTACCAGTCCCTCGTAGGGATTACATTACCCCCTATTAAACTCCCTGTTAGTAGAAGGGGGAGCATCCCAGGGTTTGTTGCAAATGGGGAAAGCTGTTGGAACACCCCTCCAGGTACGAGATGCGGACCTACTTCAAGAGTCTCATGGGCACGTACTTGTAAGAAAGGCTTACGTGTAGAGAGCGGCATTAAGAACCCATGCTACTATACATACTGACCCAGCTACAACAGGAGCTGCCCTAAACCCTGAACCCTGAACCCTGAACCCTAAACCCTAAACCCTAAACCCCAAACCCCAAACCCTAAACCCTAAACCCTACAACACAACGTTCACATGCGTGGGATTCTTACTCCTGCTCGTCCTCCATGTCCAGTGGACCGGACCCGAAACCCTAAACCCCGGTTAGGGAGATTGGTTTGGGGGAGTGAGGGTTTAGGGTTTAGGGTTTAGGGTTTAGGGTTTAGGGTTTAGGGTTTAGGGTTTAGGGTTTAGGGTTTAGGGTTTAGGGTTTAGGGTTTAGGGTTTAGGGTCTGGACCTCTGGAATCCAGGAGTGCTCTCTCTGCTTAGGGTTTAGGGTTTAGGGTTTAGGGTTTAGGGTTTAGGGTTTAGGGTTTAGGGTTTAGGGTTTAGGGTTTAGGGTTTAGGGTTTAGGGTTTAGGGTTTAGGGTTTAGGGTTTAGGCTTAGACGGCAACATCTCTTCCGTTTAAAATGAATAAGGGGCCCCCCTTCTGTTTGTTTAAGTGCAGTGGCCTATGACCTGCTCATATTGAGCTTCCACCCAAGAAAGTACATCCTCACAACTCCGGGGTTTAGGGCTTAGGGGCCCCGTTTCTGGTCCACTGACTGTTCCTTCTAAGAGTGCCATTGGTTTCAGTAGGAGCACGAAGAGGGGCCGGTTCGGGGTTTAGGGTTTCGTAGGACACCAAGCTCCAGCGCACTCCCCAAAGCCCCTGCACCCCGGAGCTATCATCATGCCGAGCGGCAGTAGCATGAATTCGCGGTAAACTGCCATGCCCAAGCAGTTCTTGATGTGCCTTAGGTGAGGGAATTAGGGTTTAGGGTTCGGCCAGCCAGGGTCTATAGGGCTTAGGGTGATGGTAGTCCACATCCGCATACCCCTTTCTGCCCAAACGCTGTAAACCCTAAACCCTAATTAAACCCCAAATCCTAAACCCCAAACCCTAAACCCTAAGCCCTGAACCCTAAACCCTAAACCTCCGAGCGGCGTCAAGAGAAGGCCCACACAAGGCTCGAACATCTTGAAGGCGTTCGCCGGGCCCGCGGCCTTTCTGCTTCAGGTCTTGTTGGGTTTATCAAGGTCTTTTAAAGTTGTTGGGGGGCTTTGTGTAGGTTTTTGTAGGGTTCATTTAGGCTTTAAAGTTCTTTTTAGGGGTTGCTTTGGGGCTCATAGGTTGTTGACGGGTTTTGCGAGGGCTTTAGGTTCGACCTCCGGCTCCACTGCGCTTTGAGGGCTTTGAGGGCTTTGGGGGGTTTGGAGGGTTTGGAGGGTTTGGGGGGTTTAGGGTTTAGGGTTTAGGGTTTAGGGTTTAGGGTTTAGGGTTTAGGGTTTAGGGTTTAGGGTTTAGGGTTTAGGGTTTAGGGTTTACTTCTGGGGGTTTCGCGTCCAGGGGTGCAGGGCTCAAGGGGGATCAGGCATCGGAGCTGAGAGAGCTCTTCGGGTGGTTTGGGGCCTTCAAGGGTTTAGGGTTTAGGCTTTGGGCTTTAGGGCAGGGGTTTTGGGCTTTCCGGTTGTTTCGGGACGTTTTCGGGCATTTTTTGGGGTTTCCGCGCTGTAGGCGGAGGACTGCTGGGATGCGTGCACCCCGTCGCTGCGCATGTGGGGGCGAGCTGACACCCTCATCCCAAACCTTTAGGTTCCATAAGGGCTTGCTGTTTAGAGTTTAGTGTTCAGTTTAGGGTGCCTTTGAAGCCCCGCAACACCTAGGCCCATGAAATTCCATGAGCCCCCCCACCCCAACGCTCTGACGCCCTAAGACCCAGACCAAAAGCAAAACTACAAACTCCCAAGCCCTGAACCCCTAAACCCTCAGGCAATCACCTCTTCCTACCAGCACTCTACACCTCAGCGAGTCAGAAGAATCGAATTCTTCCAAATTGGCACCCAACTAAAGAGCCCTCAAATCTTAATCCCTGTTCCCCTAGGAAGAAAAAAGGATCCTTTTTGTGTATATATAAGAAAGCCCATAACCCAAAAAGTAAAAAAGGATCCCAAACACTGATTTAGAAATATCATTGGCTCGCCACCTTCGGCCACTGATCATCCGGAAACGCCCTCAGAGTGCTGCGAAACAAACTCCGGGTGGAAACCAAAGTTGGGGAGTTGAAATTGAAGGGGCCAGGGTTTAGGGTTTAGAAGGAAGATCCACAGCTGGGCTGAGGAAGGCAGCTGGAGTACAGTGTTGCCAGGTTTAGGGTGCTTAGAGTTTGGGTTGCTCATGGTTGTTCGGATGACAAGTAGTTTTAGAGTTTACAGGGTCACACGGCCCTGGCCACCGCACAGTTTGACCTCTAAGGACGCTGAGCCGCCCCGCCCTTCACCCAAATATCCTCGAGTCTTGAAAACAGCCCTTTCGGTGACGTGAGCAACTCACAAATATTCAAACATCCACCGCCCGGCGCCGCATGAGTAGATCTATCTGGGGTTATGAATACAATATGGCAAATGCTATACCCGGTTGAACCCAACCATAAACCCCAACACCAGCCCTAAACCCTGATCCCTAAACCACCCATGAACCTACAAAAGAAAGCCCTCCCAGATTCGTAAGGGGACTTTGCGACTCGAGGGCGCGACCCCTTTACGCTCAGCCAGTATCTTGCGGCTTCCAGGGCTGTTTATTGTTGTTTTCAGGGCATTTGGGGCCTCAGTTTCAGGATGTCTTGCTTGTTTTGCCTATTTTTTTGGCCGGGAGCTCGGGGGTTTAGGGCTTTCGGGCTTTGTCTTGGTCTTGGTCTTGGGGCCTGATGCTTGGGGCTTAATGCTTTAGGGCTTAGAGTTTCAGAATGCCATGCTTTGTCGGGCTTAGAGTCCAGTGAAGCAAAGAGCTTGCACCCCTAAACCCTAAACCCTAGACCCTCTAAACCCTAAACCCTAAGCCCTAAGCCCTAAGCCCTAAGCCCTAAGCCCTAAGCCCTAAGCCCTAAGCCCTAAGCCCTAAGCCCTAAGCCCTAAGCCCTAAGCCCTAAGCCCTAAGCCCTAAGCCCTAAGCCCTAAGCCCTAAACTAAACCCTAAACCTGAAACCTTAAACCCATCCCCGGCAAGAAGGTTCTAAGTGCTCCTTGTAGTGAGCCGACTGTAGTCGCTTGAGGACTCGTGTGCTCAGGGCACTGTAGGGTTTGAAGCCCAAGAGGTTTAGGGTTAAGGGTTTAGGGCTTGGGGTTTAGGGTTTGGGGTTTAGGGTTCACCTGATATCCTCGTCTGGGGTTGTTCAAGGCGGGTCGTTGTCCGAGTGTTTGAGCAGTTTCGGTCATTCCGTTCTAGGTTTTGGATAAGACGCTTAAACACCCTAAACCCTCAACCCTGACCGGCTTTGATGTCCATCCAAGACCCAAACCCTGAAAATCTCGATGTCCCCCCCCCCGCCCCCCCGCCCCCAATAAACCCTAAGCCCTAAAACCCAACAGCTCTTCAAGCCCGGAAAGCTCCATCTAACCCGAAACCCTAAACCCCAAACCCTAAACCCCAAACCCTAAACCCTAAACCCCAAACCCTCATCTGCACCCTAGCAGCTGAAGCCCTATGGACTTTGTCAGCCCTCCAAGACCCAGGCCCCACCAGCCCCGAACAAGGCTATGCGCCCTGCAAGCGCAACCTAGACTCTGAAACCTCAAAACCCTCCAAAACCCCGAAAACCCTAAACCCTCAACCCTAAACCCTAAACCCTTTGAAAACCCTCTTTTGGGTTAAAAAAATCACCCTCTTCCACTAGGGTTTTTGAAAAATCCTGCGAACGAGACTCGTCCAGAAGCCCTTGGACCTGAGGAAGCCTTTGAGCATGGAGGGAAATTTGAAAATTCACGGCTCTGGGGAGTTAAGGGATGAGGATTAGGGGTTTAGGGGTTTAGGGGCTTAGGGGTTTAGGGGTTTAGGGGCTTAGGGGTTTAGGGGTTTAGAAGTTGAGGTTTGTAGGGCTTGAGAAGCTGAGGGTCAGGGTTGAGAACTGAGGGTTGAGGGTCTTGGGTGTTTAGGGCATTGGGGATTGACTCGCGCCTTACAGAACCCACCCCTAAACCCCTAAAGCCCTCAACCTTAACCCCCTCTACGAATCTGACGTGTTAGGCACTGTACAGCTTCGTTTCGCAGCGTACGTAGGGCGTGACAGAAGTCAACTCTGGTGGCTTCAGGGGTTGTTGCAGAATACAGGGGTCCAATTAGAACAGGGTTTGGGGTATTATAGTATCATTACAAAGGGGCCATAAGGGAATACTTTTAGTAGTTCTTCCGACCCCCTATCGTAGAATCCAGGGCTTGGGGTTTGGACTTTTGGGCTTTTGGGTTTGGGGGTTTAATTCTTTTGAGGTTAGGCGTCTTCATGGTCATGACGTTGGTACAGATCCAAGAGAGCAGCAAGGTGTCGTGTGGTATTTCTGACTCTCTAAGCACGCGAATCCTCCAAGAGGGCCTGAAAACCCAACACGCCACCGCACTCCTTTTTGGGGGTTCCTTTACACGGACTACATAGTATTTTGGGGTATATAAGGAGTACTCCGACCCTTCTCTCAGAATGCCGAAGGCTGGGCCCAAGCTGCAGGAGTTGACTCGTCCTTCAGCTGCTCAAACCCTAAACCCTAAACCCTCCTAAACCCTGATCCCATTTTTGTTACCCTCATTGGCCGAGCCTCACAAACAAGGCATCCCCATGTCCCGGACCTCCGTCCTCCAGGCCCACATTCGAGAACAGCAGGCGCCAACCCAGTGGCTGCAGGAGCTCCTTGAAGGCCTCCACAGAGGAGGGTCCACTTCCCACGTAGGTACCATCTGGGAGAACCTCCACTTGCAGGCATCGGGCTTTCAGCAAGATGTCCTTGCTGGCTTTCAGCATGGGAAGCTCAGCCCCCTGCATGTCAAAGCGCAGGAAGTGGGCCTTCTGAATCTTGGCCTCCCGCGCGAAGTCGTCCAGCGTCGACGTGCGCACCTCGATGGGCGCGTTCATGGAGACGTGGGACAGACGCCGCAGCTCATCCTCTGAGGTTGCAAAGAGACTCGAGGCTCCGAGACTTCCCCAGCTTGCAACCACAGGAATCATCGGGACTCTTCCCGAGACGTTGTAGAGCGCCTGCTGGTAGGTCTTGATGCGGCCTGTGCAGTTGCTCTGAAGATTCCGAAGCTTGCTCCTAGGATGCTGCGTAACCCTTTGATTCAAAAGGGCACCCTTTTTTGCTTAAAGGGGTTAAAAAGGGAACCTAAATCCCCCAAAAAGGGAATAAGGGTCCTACTGGGCATCCTAGGCTCTTCATCCGAGCAAAGGAGCTGGGAATCGGCTCCAGCGCATGGACGACCGCATGGGGCCATGATCTGCACATCGCCACGGAATCTTCTCCTTCGCGGGCTCCGGCTTCGATCACAATCGGACAGGGATCTCCACGACAAGATGTCTTGAGTATCTGCCACAGAAAGTCATGCCCCAGAAATTTCCGTACCTCCTGACTCCGTAGAAACGACCAAACTGGCATCGGCGCTCGAAGGCCTTCACCATACTCCCATCCACCACTTTGAATCGCACGCAGCTCGTTTCTGATCCTGGTCATGAAAGCTCTCCGATCGACTTGCTGAATTAAGGATTCAAGATCGGCTGGAAGGTGGCCTCGGCGTTGCGCAAAGTCCGCCTTCCCCGTCATCGACCAGGCAATGCGCGACGCGCGCCGGAAGGCCGCGCAGCTCGACTGATTTAACCGGTCCTGCCCGATGTCAGCCGAGAGCGCATACCATGGAAGGAGTGGCGCCAGTCGGCTTTGGAGGGCGGGCTCCAAGAGGAAGGTGTATGCGACAAGAGCCCAAAGACCCTCGCGCTGCTTCCAGCGGCCGATGTTGCTGGTCACCGAGATGTTGCTCCATCGGCGGTTGTCACCTAGGAGGGCCCCTATAAGACCCTCTGAAGAAAATATTCCTGAGTATGACCCTCTTAAAACCCAATTAAGAAAAAAATCCTGAGTATGATCCTCTTAAAACCCAATGAAGGGAAACATGTAAAATGTCCCCAAGGGCCTACCTAGTCACGCTCCTCAGCTCGCAGCAGGCGCATCTCGAAGCTGTCGTCACAGGAGTCAGTGGCACCGAGCGCTCTCACAGCTGCCTCGTTGGCAAGGTAGGCCTATACTGAACTTGGAACCCTAGCAAAAATATCTGATTTTAGCTGTTTCCAAGGAAATAAAGTGCCCCAAAATCAGAAATTATTTCCAAGTATCCCTAAGAGGCAAGACCAAAGAGGGGCACTGGCGCCTCGAAAATGCTTGCCCAGTCGACTGCCATGAGCTTGTTCCAGGCAGCTGCTAGGCAGGAAGCAAGGGTTCCAGAAGTCCGCAAGGTGATGCAACGGGCTAGACAAATGCAAGCCTGCCAAGCAGGATTCTTTGAACTCTGACTTTCCCACGTGCCTGGGAAAAAGCTGTTCCACTCGCCGCCATATGCCAACGCCACTAGAGCAAGGCGGACGTCAAGCGACAAATCATCAGCCATGCCGATCTCACAAAGCACACGCCCTCTTGAACATGCTAATCCACACGGCTTATGCCTGGTTTGCTTGGTCTACATAAACACACGCGCATTCCCTTCCAGTTCATTCGACCCACATGACATGTCTCATTGAGCTTGAACCATATTTCCTTTCTTCTCACCTAACCGGCCATGTGACGTATCGATGCAATGACTCAGTGCAAAGCACCTTTTCCTTCGGAAACCCTAAACCCTGAACCCGAAACCCAAACTCACTCTTTGGCATTGGGTGTCGGGGCCAAGTGCAGAGGCGGTTGCCTAACGCCCCATCCCCCCCTCCCCCGCCCCCCCTCTCCACCCCCCCGGCCCCCCTCTCCCCCCCCCCCCCCCCCCCCCACCTGCCAAACAAAAACCCTAAACCCTAAACCCTAAACTGTAAACCCCTAAACATAAACCCTAAACCCTAAACCCTGAACTGCGGTCAGGGCACCCAACATGTTTGGCTCTCTCACGCTGTAGCGGAGGAAGGGTGGCGCTTCGAGGTCCTTGAAGAGGCTGCCAGAGTCGAAAAGTGAAGGGCTGAAGTCTAGAGGTTCAGGGGCTTAGGGTCTGAGGGGTTTAGGGTTTAGGGTTTAGGGTTTAGGCTTGAGGGCTGAGCCTTTTGAGGATTGCGGAGCTTTGGGGAGTCAGGGATGCAACAGCATCTCCTGATGGGTGCATGGCGAGACCTCGCTTCAACCTCAAGTGCTTTCTTGCCCGCTTAACAGCGATGATAATCGTAGTAACAACAATAACATAATCACAAACAGGAAATATGAGTAGTAAAATAAAACATACCAAAAACAGGCAAGAACAATAATGAGCGACGGCTTCTTGTTTTCGGAGCTCGGGTTTAGGGAGTGGGGAGTGAGAGGGCTTCAGGTGCACCCATTGCCGTCACGGTCTGGGACAGGGGCGGGTGTAGGGTTCAGGGTTCAGGGTTTGAGGTTTAGGGTTTAGGGTTTACACCCTAAACCCTTAACCCTAAACCCTACACCCTACACCCTTGAACCCGAAACCCTGAACCTGTCAACGGAAGTCAGCCTATCAAGCTGGCAGGCATGGCTTCAGGTCCAGGGCTTACGGTGAGGGTTTGGGATTGAGCGAGGGTTTCGGGTCCAAGCGTCTGAGGGATGTTCTGGGTTCGGGGTTAAGTTTAGGGGATTTGGGGTTTAGGGGTTCTCTTTGGGCATTTCCGGATTTGCGAGCGCAGGGTTGGGATGTCTTGCGGCCGGCTTGCACACGAGAAAACAGAAGCGCCAGCAGCTCTCCACTCAAACCCGCCCCCCCCCCCCCCCCCGCCGCCGCCCAAGAAAAACGCAAAACAAAAACACAAACAAGCCAAAAACAAAAACACCAAAAAAGGAAACAGGAAAAAAACCCATGAGCCCCTAGACGACCCATAAACATCCCTCAGCCCCGAGCCCTGTCCTCCAAGTCCGCAGATCCCTCAGGGAACAGCGAGGACCATGGGAGGTCGTCGTCCTCAGCGGCGTTTGGGGGTTTTGGGGCTTCAGGGTTCAGGGCTTGGCTGCAGGGTTTAGGGGTTTAAGGGTTTAGGGTTTAAGGGTTTGGGGTTGTGGGGTTTGAGGGTTTACGGTTAAATGCTTTAGGGTGTAAGGGTTTGGGGTTTAGAGTTTAGGTTTACGGTTCAGGGGTTTTAGATTTACAGGGTGGCGGGTTTCGGTTTGGGCGAAGGGGTTGAGTACGGCACCCCCCCCAAGCCATCTGGGTCTGCCCGTGAACCTTCAACCCCAAAGCCTAGAACCCTAAACCCTAAACCCTCAACCCTAAACCCTGAAACCCCCATAACCTAAAACCTCACCAAGTTCACATTTCTGGAGAGGCCACACTGCATGATGCTCTCAGGAAGAACTGTCATCATGAGGCCGAAAAGCCCTGAATCCGAAAGCCTAATATAGGGGGCCTTAAAAAGTAGAGTAGGGTTTTGGGGGATATTCCAGTAGACTTGTATGGGGGCTTCCGAAAATAAGGGACCCCTAAAGTAGACCCCAAATAATGGGATTCCCTTACAATAAGGACCCCAATATGGTACCCTAATTTCGGAAACCTCCGTATGGGGACCGATAAGGGAGTACTACTAGTAATCTTGGTAGCCCAGTAACCATATTAGAATAAGGGCACCCTTTTTTGGGTTGGTTATTTTATAAGGGAACCCATAACCCAAAAAAAGGGTAAGGGAACCACTGGGCTACCAAGACTAAGTATACCATACTCCCCTTAGAACCTTAATGAAAACAATATCTTTAATGTATTTCCCAAGGGGGATATAGTGAACCCTAAACCCTAAACCCTAAACCCTAAAGTCTAAAGTATTCCGACCCCTGTATGAAGCAGATGCCTCCTCGAGCTCGAGCAGCCCATGCGTAGGGCAGGCCCTCGGTTCAGGACTTGGACTGTCAAAGCTGTGGTTTAGTTTAGGGTTGAGGGTTGAGGGTTTAGGGTTTAGGGTTTCGGGTTTAGGGTTTAGATTTAGGGCTTAGGGTTTAGGGTGTAGGCAGGGTAAAAAAGCTTCGGGGTTTAATTAAACCCCAACAGCGCTCACCCGAAGTCAGAAGACCCCATCTGCAAGAAAAGCCCGTGTTGCGATCCGAACTCCTTCAATGGGGCCCAGGAGCAAAACTGCTAAGTTCACGAAGCTTGCTAGTTTAGCGCCCGTGCTTGGCAGCTAGAAAGCACAGAGTACACAAAACGAGGCTCTGCTGTGATGACATGAAACCTTGACTGCCTTGAGCAGGTCGGTTCCTCATGCTTTGAATGTGTCAGATTGAACAACGTGTCTCTGGCGCTGCGAGAGACCAATACTTCAAGGAAACCCTAAGCCCTAAACCCTAAACCCTAGACAGCGTGTTGATCTGCATCGCTGCCTTCTTTTCCAGGACGCATCTGAAATCAACAAGGGGATGCGTCTCTTGTTCTGGTAATTTTGGCTGTGGTCGAAACCACTGACAAGGGCCCTCGCATTGTACATGAACCCACAAGTCCCTCGAGCTCTCAAAGTTTCGGGTTTCAGGGGTGACATGTCTTTATCAAAGGCACTTGTATCCTGCCTGTCTCGAGGACAGCCCCTGAATTCAAGGAAGTCTCCCTAAACCCTAAACCCTAAACCCTAAACCCTAAACCCTAAACCCTAAACCCTAAACCCTAAACCCTAAACTCTAAACCCAGAAATCTTCAACCCTAAACCCCAAAAGCCCGCAACCCCCGAACCCTAGTGGCAGTCATGTCTCTGCTGCAGCACCACGAGACAGGGCGGCGGCTGGCGCGGATCCAATGATGCCAGAAATCTGGGGTTTAGGGTTTAGGATTTAGGGTTTAGGGTTTAGGGTTTAGGGTTTAGGGTTAGGAAGGCTTTTTGGGACCCTCAGGGCTTAGGGTTTAGGGTTTAGGGCCTCATCTCCCAGCTTCCTACGAAGATGGGGTTTAGGGGGTTTAGGGCTGTAGGGCTTTAGGGGTTGCAGGGCTTTGGGCTTTAGGGTTTTAGGGGTTTAGGGTTTAGGGTTTAGGGTTTAGGGTTTAAGGTATGGTTTAGGGGCTTAGGGTTTCAAGCCTGTTTCAGGCACGCATGCCAAAATGCCGTCGCCTGGGACCCGAAGCCATAGCCCAACCCTAACCCCCACCCCCAAGCCTCTTCGGGACAGCCCTCGCAACCTTACGGCCATAGAAACCCTCAAAGAACGTCCTGTCAAGGGTGCTAAACCCCAAGCCCTAGGCCCTAGCCCTAGGCCCAATGAAACTGAAGATAGCTCAACAGCGCTTCAGGTTTTAGAGCCGCATGCTTGCTAGTTCAGGTTTCTAAACCACAAGCCAAATACCTTGAACCCGACAAGCCCTGAACTCTAAAGACTTACCCTAAACCCTAAACCCTAAACCCTAAACCCTAAACCCTAAACCCTAAACCCTAAAGGTGAAAAAAAACTCCCAAAGCCCGAGGCTGCGCTTAGCCCAGCAGCGTTTTGAGCTCAGAAAGGCTCTCGAGCTGGGCGACCTCCTTTTTGGAAACAGGCCTCGCAAGAATCTGCTCTCGGGTTTGGTGCAAATGTAGGGGCCTTGCTAGTTAAGAGTAGGGTTTTGGGAGGTTAGGTACAGTATAACTATAAAGGGACCATAAAGGAATACTACAGGTAATTCTAGGGCAGGCCGGCTCTTCAGAAAAATGCGCTGTGCGGCTGGAGTGTTGGGGCTTAGGGTTTACGGTCTTGTTCAACCCTCGCACCCCAAAAAGGATGGCAAAGTAGATGCCTGATCATATGATTTTAAGTTTTCAGTCGTCACGCCTGACCTCAGAACCACGGAGACTTCGCTACTTGGTCCAGCTTTGGGAGGGGAACTGAATAGAGACTGGCCTTTTGTAGTTTATATATATATATATATGTAGAGAGAGAGAGAGAGAGAGAGACAGAGAGAGAGAGAGAGAGGTAGTTTCTTTTTTATCCCAAGACACAAAACCTTCAGCTCCCCAAAAGCGTCGAAGCGCCTCACTCGGCTCTTGAGCTCCAACTGCCAAAGCCAAGTCAGGCTCCGTCATCA